TTGATATTCTGAGGATGTATTATTAGAGTGGAACATCATTTTATTATTCATTTATGTACTTTGTCTCTGAGTCAGATTATTGTGATTTTTAAAAATAAATTTTACAGTGCATATTTGAGTATTACAAGATGATTTTTAAAAAATTTTATTTGGTACAGGGTCTTACTATGCAACTCGGACTTGTAGTGCTTGTCCTGTTTTCTGGGATTACAGGCATGCACCAACACGCTGTTTCAGTGTCCAGCTCAGTGTGCTTGTGGACAGGGCTGGTGTGGCATGTGATGCTGGTGATCAAACCCCTCTCACTGTACTTGCCTAAGTAGGTGTTTAGTCTGCTGAGCTATCTTGTAGGCCCAAGATCATGTTTTTAACTTAAAAATTGTATAGACTACAATGTTAGGAAATGAGGAGAAAGGAAATGATTATGAAAACTCTTTGAAAAGTTCTTCTATCTAATGAAATGTACACAATTTATTTATTTTGTTCAATTTATGAAAATCACATTTGTAATTAGAGTCATGTGACTGAGAATGTGAGTTCTTTGAAATTTAAGCGTTATCAGTAGATCAGTTTGAGGTAGACCTCTGGGCCCATTTCCATAGATGCCTGAAACGACAATGTATGAGTCCTGACTGCTATGCAGACAGTGTCTTCTTTCTATTTGTCTTTCACATTATGCAGAGAGGTTTGGGGCTTTTTCCTTAACTTGTCCCTGAGAGATGAGATCAGCAAAGACTCCCTGTGTATTTGAAGAACTTTGGGGTGAGAAGAATTATCTTGATGGAAGTTGAAGAGCAGGGCAGTTATTCCTTGAAAAGGAAAGCTGTAAATGTGGATATTGCCTACAGATCCAAGGGAGGCAGTTTCCTGCAGTTCTCCGGAGCTGCCTCTTGTCAGTTCAGGTTCCTGAGAGGCAGACATCAACAGTAAGATTAAAGAATCGGGTGTGCAAAAGATTACAGGGGAAGAGCCTGCGAAGGACAAGCAGGCAGGTGCAGGCACAGGCAAAGTGATGCTGAGAATGAGTATTCACAGTTCTGAGGTTCCAGACCCAGGAAGAATAGAAGCGCGCTTGGAGAGGAAAATGTCAGCTGAAGGTCAATTCTGAGATTTGTGTTCATTATGATGGGCCATCTCCAAGCTGAACTTGCTTGTTAGAAAAATCCTGTACTGGGTGGAAACGTGCCTACATCACGACTCTCACTGATTTCACCTGTCCAGAATTAGCCAGGGAAATGTGACTGTCACTCCTCCAGCAGCAGGTGGAGGCCATAGTTCACTTAATTCCATACAGTAAGTTCTCTTGACGTGACAGCTAAGTGGGGTGCCCCCTCCTGTCACAGGCTACCTGTGTCCGTGCGTATTCACTTCTTAATGCTCAATCTGTGAGTAGCACCAGAATAATTTTAATTTTAAATTTATCCCTTTATTTCTGATAATTACTGTGTAATGTAGACATAACTATCATAATCTCTATCATAATGAGTATGATATTTTAAGTATTAGTATTGATTTCAAGATTAAAATAAATATGATTATGGAGGTTATAAGATACATGTTACATTACATTGAATATTTTAACCAAAGTATATTTATGATATTTATTTTCATGGAGTTATTGCCCATACATTCTCATTACTATATAATATTTTCCTGCATAAGTTTAGCAGATGTTAGGTTGCCTGGTTCTCATTGCACTGTTGCCACCAGTTTCAATTTAGTACAAGCTGGTTTAATAAGGTCAGCTTCTTTATTTTAAGGCCCAGCTAATGTCCACCACATTGGGACGTGGTAGAAGTTCTAATCCATCTGTCTAATCAAAGAGAGTGGGATAATTCTATGTCTAGAGCACTGTGAGAAGCAGTGTAAGATTGCAAGACTCTTTCAAGACTGGAGGTTGTGGAGGTAGGTCTGGGTACTGAAAGCAGCAAGAAGACCAGAACTATTGCTTCAAAAACTGCCAACTTGAACAGAAAAAAAAAATTAAGCGTACCTTTTCGGTATAATTGTTTTTCTGTGATGTATTCAGCAATAGCACCATTGCAGCAATAACGGGAAAATCAGGTAGGCATGAGATTCACTGTGCAATGGGTGTTTGAGGCATATTTTATTTTCATATAATTCACTATACAATTGCAGATTTTGCAACCTACCACAAGATCACTTAGACTTTCATGGACTGTTTAATGATAACATGATTTTAAAACCAGTGCTAAGATCTTGGCTTAGTGGTGCTTACACTATTAATTCTAGCACTCTGAGAAGCTGAGGCAAAAAGATTGCAATTTTGAGCCCAAGTAGATTCATTCAGTGACTTAGCAAAACATTTTCTCAAAAAAAATTGTGGAAGGGTGCAAATGGAGATGTAGCTCAATGCAAAGCTTTGGGTACAGTCCCCAGTACTGGAAAAAACTAAGTTTGAAGAAAAAAATCAGTGTTTCAGCACAATTTGCAGCTAGTTTGCTCTGGAGCCTCTGCATGGAGTAGCAGTCAGTAGGTATAATTCATTTCTACTTGGCTGTTAGCAAGTTCACCTCACTGCTGGACTTCCACGTGCCCTGCACTCTAGCTAGAGTGTTTTTATTCCTATTTGTCTGAATGTTCTCTTGTGCTTCAAGGTTTGTTCTTCATTCATAAATGCATGTCAGCTCTACCTCCTCTGAAATCCATAGCAAGCCTCATCCAACTCTCACACATCATCCATTGTAATTTGTGTATTGATTCACTGTCCTCTTCAAACGAATGGAAAGATCCTTTACCATTCAAAATATCCCTTAAATGTATTTGAACTTGTTATCCACTAAATTTATTTTAATTCCATATGTTTTCCAAATGTTCTTTAGAAAAGCATTGCAGTAATTACCCAATACAATAAGGTTGATGTAGTTGTGAAAGAAAAGAAAGCCAAGGAAGGAGAAAGCCAATAACCCAAACACAGTAATTGTGCTGAAGCATCAACTTGGCTCTGCACAATCGAACAGCTAAAATCAAACAATAGAATATTATTTAGACCTCGTTATATCAAATAGAAGGAACAATAACTCTTTTAGAGAGATTTTGATTAACTTAGTACTAAATTTCATGAAAATTATTCTGCCAGTCTTTATTCTCATAGTAAGTAGAATAATCATTCCCTTAATTCACTCAAGAAATGTCTACTGAGGACTTGTTCTATATCTTTGGATGTTGTATTTTGCTGTTTTGGAGGTAAAAGGGGGCAGTTTGAAAAAAGATTAATACCATTTGTTTTTCAAGCTATAGGAGTTTATTTAGGTTAATAGAATCAGCACAATTGTATTTGGTGCTAAAAACAGAAATAATAAAAAGGAGAGCCAGGGACGAGAGCAACGTGTGCCGGACAACAGAGATCAGTGTTTCTCAGGTGGTAGGCCTTGGGTCACAGCCTTTGTCATAAAGAGATTCACATTCAAGGCAAGCAATTGTGTATTCAAAATTCTTCAAAATTCAGGGGTTTATGCACACTGTGTTGTCAGAAATTTCCATTAGTAGCCTGATAATTCTGAAATATTAAAGAACAATTAGTATGGAGATACAAAGGAAAAAGGGAGCAAAACCCAAGCCTCAGAGGTCTGTTAGGTGGCCTCTGGCGTAGGGATAAAGATGAAAATAACAGCACTGCTCCCTCCAGAATGTTAATCATGGTGGGTGCTTTCCATAGTAAGAATGAATGGGAATTGTACCACCGAGCTGCTCTTATTCTGACCTGCCACAAAATCCTGGCCATCTGTCTGAACAAGAGGTAATTGGGTTTCCAAATTTGAAGACCCAGTCCAGAAATGGGCATCCCAGATGAACACATAATTCTCAGAGGACAAAATTATAGGAGTGAATAAATATATAAAAAAATGCTCCACATCACTAGCCATCCATGAAATGCAAATTAAAACAACACTGAGTTACCATCTCACCCCAGAAAGAATGGCTATCATGAAATCAACTAAGAACAAATGTTGGAGAGGCTGTGGGGAAAAAGGAACCCTCCTCAACTGCTGATGGGAATATAGACTGGTGCAACCATTATGGAAATCAGTGTGGAGGCTCCTTAGAAAACTAGGATTAGAAATCCCATTCAAACCAGCTCTCCTCCTACTGGGAATTTTCTCATAGGAACTGAAAACCTCATATCATAGTGATATATGTGTACCTATGTTTAAAACAGCACAATTTGTGATAGCCAAATCATGGAAACAACCAAGATGCCCATCACCTAAGGAATGGATGAAAAAGATGTGGTATTTTTTATACAATGGAGGATTACTCAGCTATAAAGAATAATGAACTTGAAGCACTCATATTTAAGTGGATGCCACTTGATGATATACTCATTCGTGAAATAAACCAGACCCACATGTATAAATATCATATACTCTCCCTTGTATAAGAACTCAAAAGAAGAAATACAAATAGAAAGGTATAGCACAACTAAAAGGAAAGTGAGAGCTTGAGGATTGGACAATGAGGAGAGGGTAAAGAGAAAAACTGGGAAACAGGACAGGGACAAAACCATACATTTATACACACAAGATGGACAAGGCAATGATCCTGAGAAACATCAGCAGGTTTTTGAATCTAGCAGTAAACTGGTAGGATTCTCACCCTGACTAACTATATATGCTGATACTTGTGAACCAAGCAGCTGCACTGAAGATAGCAATGTGTAATAGAAGGGTCATGCTTGTAATGCCTGTCATTCTGGTCTTCTAAATACATACTGCTTGTCATGGCATACCAATTACTGCCATACTGTCTCTCAAGTAAATGTTTGTTTTTTTAAAAAAAAAAAGGGTGCTAAATGAAAACAAGAAACAAGAAAAAAAAAAGTCATAGGACTGTCCTGCTACATTGCTGTATATGGTTAGATTTCTAAATTTCTGAGTAAAAACATGTAATTGTTAAAAAATGGTAATTGAATTTATTTCTGATCATCTATGGAAAGCTTTAATAATGGGATGTCTTTCTCTCTTCCAAAATTTGGTTAGAACTATCCTATGCTTGGATCTTCAATGAATATCCATCGTTTGTTGAAGAAGATAGTCGGAGATTTGTCTCTCAAGAGACGGGGCATCTCTACATAGCTAAGGTGGAGCCTTCTGACGTGGGAAATTATACATGTGTGGTTACAAGTATGGTGACAAATGCCAGAGTACTGGGCTCTCCGACTCCTTTGATGCTGCGTTCTGATGGTATGAAATATTTTGACGTATAATTCTTGGTGCAAATGGTGTTGTGAGTACAGGCAAAACCAATTGAACATACATTTGGAAGAACTATTGCTTTATTTGTTAGACAAGAAGGAGGGAAAGAGGGAAGAAGGAAGAAAAAGGGTCACACCAGATACCAAAAGGAATGCAAATGACCAAAGTACATCACACACATAGAAAGCTTTCCCCAGGGAGTATGAAACTAGCAGAAGAGTGGGGCTTGAGCAGTGATGAGGGTGAATGTAAAGATTATGCCCTGCTAACATGTGCTAATAAAACATTTAAACATGATACTATAAACATCATCTTTTTAAAAAAAAATGTTTTATTTATTTATGTATTTGGTACAGGGTCTCACTCTGCAGTTGGACTTGTAGTGGCCCTCCTATTTTAGCCTCCCCAGTGTTTGGAATACAGGCATGTGCCACCACTCCCAGTTTTTGTGGCTAGCACAGGGGCCAGCATGACATGCATTGCCAGAGATTGAAACCTGGTCCTTGCGCTTGCCAAGCAGGCGCTTAGACTGCCAAGCTATCTCCTCAGCCCAACCATCATCTTTATCCAGGACCACCTGGATATAATAATAATCTGCAAGGAAGAATATAAAAAAATGAAAACAAGGAATTGCTTCCTTGTTATGAATGTATTAAGAATTTTGGGACAGTAACTGCAGAGCTTTACAACCATCATGAGACCCTTGAGAACCTGAGGTCCAGGCTGCAATTCCTTCACTTCAGGGATGTCATTGGTTCTCACTTTCTCCAGCTTGAGGTTTTAATAACTCTGAAAATTTTGTTATAGACTAAAAAGTCTCACTATGAAGAAACTAAAGAAAGGAATCTGTTTCAGCAAAACCATGATGGTTGTATCAGAGGAGTTTTCAAGTTGCAGAGGAAGCCAATTTCATAAGCCTGAGTAGTTGACCTACTTAAACTAAACCATACCGAATACAGCACAATACCAGAACCATGAAATGTCAAAACACCTCTTTCCTGTCATTTATAATTGAATCTGACCTTTCCCATTTACTAAGTCACTGTTTCTTGACACCAGGGAACCATTTAATAACTTTAAGATTGGTGTCAGTGCTACCAGAGTACCATTAAATAAATTAAGTAAATTCCCTAATGTAGCATTGGTCCCATGGGAAATTTTAGGAAGTTATTGTATATTTCATTTCGACTAGAAATGTCCACAAATGAACACAGAATTTCAGCAGTCCACCACTTTTTATAGTGTAAAAGGCATAGAGGTTTTAGTAGAAATGCTCTGTACCAGATATCACAGGAATATGTCAGAAGAGGCAATACCAAAGTTCTTAAGTGTCTAGTAAGGTCCACATTTGCTTCCTGTTAGCATCAGTAGTAAGTTACACCATTAGAAGATACTGTTTCAAAATGGAACAAACAGACCTGTATGGTGATGCAGATCCATAATACTCAGGAGGCTGAGGCAGGCAGCCTGCTAGTTCAGAACCAACCTGGGCTACACAGCACAGTCTTGTCTCAAAAACAAACAAGCCACAAACAAGGGAACAAAGAATGTTTTAAGACAACAAGGACATCTCAAAGGAAACATTAACAGTATTAACTCTCTGTTGTGAATCACAGGTGTGATGGGTGAATATGAACCCAAAATAGAAGTTCAGTTTCCAGAAACTCTTCCAGCAGCTAAAGGCACCACTGTGAAACTGGAGTGCTTTGCCCTTGGAAAGTAAGTTTGTCACCCACAGCTCACTATGCTCTAACATCAGGCTGCTGTAGGATAGCAGGGTGGTTTTGGACAGATGTCCCCTCTTCACTTGCTCAAATGTACTACATGTACATATGCAGTGCAGCTTGGAGGAAGACACTTGGGAGAAAATGACTGTGCCTGATTAATTTCATAAAGTAAATTGGTATTATTTTTCTTTTTCCTGTTCCTTTATCATATTGTAGAATGGTAACATGTGTTAGGCTTTTTTTCCCCCTTTAAATCATGAATTGACTCAAGACAATGCATTGTATTTTATTAAAATATCAATTTAAAGACTTAAAAATGCTAAATATCAAGTTAAAGAGCTAAATTTTTCATCATGTTTATACAATTGACAACTGGATGTGTTACTCATTTATACCAGTGCTTTTTCTCTATCTTGACAAACATTTTATCAAGGCTCAAATGCTTCCCAATAACAAAAGCAACGTGTCCAATTTCCTCTCAGCCCTGTACCTCAGATTAATTGGAGAAGAAGTGATGGAATGCCATTTCCAGCCAAAATCAAATTGCAGAAGTTCAGTGCTGTGCTGGAGATCCCTGCCTTCCAGCAGGAGGATGCTGGGTCTTATGAATGCATTGCTGAGAATTCCCGTGGAAAGAATGTAGCCAGAGGGCGTCTCACGTACTATGGTAAGCACACAATCTGAGCAGCCTGACTTTGAACCTCTAGCTCCCATATTTAGGAACCACTGTCTTTTCTGGGTGGGGAAGAGATTATAGAACTGTTTCATTTTTAAAAAATTGTCTTTATTTTGTTTAATAAATAAAGCAATTATCCTAAGAGGGAGAAATTAAAAAGGAATAAAACTCTACAGCAAAGTAATGGACATAATCTTTTCCCAAAATGAATCTTATGATAATGAAATATTTCATCCTTTTTTCTCAGAATAACCTTTCAGATGCTTAAACATATTAGAAATCTTTTTTGTGCACCTTCTCTTTTAGGAAAGGTAGTTTTATAACATCATTACCTTTACTAAGCAGAAAGAGCTCCCCACAGGTGCAAGTTGTAATTTCTGTAATTTTTTTTTTTTTGGTTGAACTAAAAAAAAAAAAATTTAGGACTGGGTTGAGTTAATTCAGTATTACTTTATCACTTCCAATAATACATCTATGCTCTATTTGTTGCCTATAAATTATAATCACATTTATTTAATGTACCAATTTATTTAAAGAAAGATAACAGTGTTTTCATTTGGAGTCTATTTGTTGAAGAATTATATTCTCTTTTTTTAATTTGAAAATTTGTTTTACATGCCTTTAATTTTAAAAACAAGCCACTTGGTTTTGATGAACATATTTAAAGAGTAAAAATATCTGATTGTACAAAATGTACCTGTAAAATGTATGAAAATATAAACTGAGTGAATATGTATTTAGAGTTTAATCATTCAAAACATTGTAAAACTGCCTCCTAGTCTGTTTATTTTAGAAGCAAGATTGATAAGTGTTCAGTGCAAACTCACATAACACACACAAATGCTGCAGGGAGGAAAATGTTTACAAAGACGTTTGTTGAAAGCTCAGGATCCGTGAGCAACCCCTCAAAAGTGTGAGGTCTGTATTCTCTGTGTCAGGCTTAATTCTTTTTATGTGAATGTGAGTTCTTAACCTCTGTCAAGGCCAGAATGCAGAGACTCAGGACGAGCGTCAGTCATTCTGTAGCTCTCCTGTGCTGTGATGTGATTAAGTTGGCTTATAGCTGACTGCATATGGGAAGAGGCCCCAAACATCAAGGTTCCTGACTCGGTGAGGAAATATGGAGCATGTAATGTTGGGAGAGAAGAGGTGAGTGCTGAAGTCATGCATCTGTCACCTCTAAGACCCCACAAAGCAAGGCTTTCTTTTTTTCTTTCTTTTTTTTTTTTTTGCCCTGGCTTAGTTCTTTTTGACGCAGTTAATTTTGTACAAATTGAGGAGCACATCCAATCAGTGTGATTATACTCTTCTCTTAGTTGAAGAGTAAAGTCATGATCCAAAAGAGAATTTAAGAGAATGACAAAGAGTAGTTCTTAATAGGTGCATAAGGGGGGGGGGGGATTCTGGATTTGGAACTGACACCATGCTTTCTTTGTTTTGGACTCATAGAAATAGAGCACAGGAGAGTTTGTAGAGTTTTTGTTTATTGTTTTATTATTTATTTTTTATTTGGTACAGGGTCTTGTTACACAGCTCAGACTTGCAGTGATTCTCTTGTCTCAGCCTCGCCTGATGCCCGGTTTAGGAGCCCACACCGTGCAGTTCTGGGTTCCGCACAGCAGGCAGTACTGGGGATTAAACTCATTTCCTTGCACTTGGCAGGCAGGTGCTTAGACCACGTAACTATAGCCCCAGCCCTTGTTTTGTTTTTGAATCATTTACTTAGCTGGACAAGTTCAAAGGAAAATGGTTATTTTGCATTACTAATGTGAGATTCTAAGACAGGGAAGAACTGTAAGCTCACGTACTCTGTATAAGAACCTTCAGTCTAAGCCGAAAGGCTCTTCTCTTTCGTTCTATGCTAATCTATTATCTTTTTCTGTACTGTCTTTTTGCATTTCTAAGTAACTAGCTGTGGGACTTGAATTAGCTCAGTGTGTGTGCTGTTTTTATCCAACCAGTTCTATTTTAGATTGTTTTTACTTATAGGCTAACTAACTAAACTATCTATATTCTATCATATTCCATTAGATTTCTCTATAAGCATACCTGATCACTTCCAGCATAAGAACAGTCTATGCCAAGTTCCTTAATGTTTCAGTAGGATGGTTTTAGTGCTATGTGACAGCATAACAGAATAAATAAGCAAGGATTTGCCTTACATGATGAGAAATTCTAAATTAAATTGACTTTCAAGAATTTTATCATCAGAACATGAGTGTTTCTATATTTTGTTTCTGCTCTTATCTATCATGTTTCCCTTTTCTATGTATTATTTCCACTATTAGATAGAATGACTACCAGCAATGACTAGCACATCAAGTACTGTTCATTCTTCCTTTCTCCAAAACATCTAGCATTCCTCTTTTTGAATCATTTTAGCTCTATGTTCAACCAAATACCAACCACTGGGAAGGAGAAATTGGATTAGATAATTTAAAAACCTTCCATTTCAATAGTGTGTATGATCAAGCCTCCCTAGAATTTATAGATAATAGGAAGTGATGTAAGACAAGATAACAGAATAAAAAAAACTGGAGTTATTGGCAGAATAAAGAATGAAGGAAGTTACTGCCTAATAGAAAATCAAGTTTCTTCTACACTTAGTAAAGAAGTAGACTTTTAGCTTAACTGGTTTTGCAAATATTATGATTTACACCCAAGAAATAGACTAGATATAAATGACATTGAGTTTTCTGAACTTGCTGTATAATTTCTGCTTAGTCTTAGTATTTTTAAAAATTACATATATCTCTTTGGCTGTCTGCTCTAATATCCCATAGTAAAATGGTCCAAGAGAATATTTCCATCTCATATGATGGATGAAGAAAGAAATTATGATTAATGTTGCTGTTATAACCTTAGATTTGGCTAAGTTTAGCAGAGCATCTTCCTATTTGGATAAGAAAAATTCATAGAACTTTTTACCAGAAATTTTAGTCTTTGTCATAGTTTCATGTTTAAATGTGTTTGTTTCATTTCCACTCAGGCTAATAATACCTGAAAGAGGAAAATACATTTTAATGTAAAGTATACAGAAGTGCCAGAACTAAACTATACTATGTATTGCCCAAATAGTATTTAGTACAAATTAAAACAGAAAAAAGGAAAGACTCAGATCTGTACATTTTCATTAAAAGCTAAATAGTCATAGTATCAGTTCAGTTTCATTTACAAAAGAAGCAATTTTGTGAGATAGAAATGGAAAGACAAATTTTCTCATAGTTGAAATTAAATAGAAATAGATAAACTATTTCTCCATATGGAGGATGCAAATGTGAATCCCACAGTACACATCACATGCATAATGCAATGTGAAGCCAGTAAGACACCTCACCTCCCCGTTTTGGATCTAAAACACAAGCTGAGACTTGGCTGACTGAACTGTGTATATTGAGTGGCTTTCATTGGAAGTGGAACATTGCTTTCATCTGCAAAAAGAATTTTTCAAACACCTTGTAAAACATAAGTGAAAAATGATTAATTGACTTGATCCAACTGATTTGCATGCATAATTTGAAGTTGCATCAGTTACTTCTTTTTCTGTTAAAAAAAAATCATAGGATTCAAATTAAATCAATTAATCCATCTTTGGCTGCTTTCATTTTATTTCACTCAGAGGTTTGTAAGACACTTGCTGGTTTGTATTTAATGAAGAGTTATTTCTGATTTGAAGGAGATATCTTTTTCCTTAGCTTTAGAAGTTTCTATCCTGTGAATGCTAATATTTAGCTCTTAATTAAGAGGAGTATTTGCTGTCACTCAGTTATTAAATTGTCATCAATTATGGTCCCATGATTCAAAAGTATATGTGGAAGAAATCATTTTTGTATCTGCCTAGCTACCTATTAGTAGATATCTGAGAAACATCACACAGTGTTCAGAATGGGAAAAGGAAGCACGTGTAGCAAGTTTTGCTTAGGACATGACATTGTAATATCCACCTGCAAGGATAAAGATGCTTCATAGTCCACTGAGTAAACACTGAAATAAACAGAATTCTAGCCTCTGCTAACTTTAGCCTGTCACTTGCTGTTTTATATTTGTTTTTATTTCCTTCAATAGAGTATTTATCCTTTATTTGTTGGATTATCTGAATTTCTTTTCTTTTCTCCCATTACAGCAAAGCCTCATTGGGTTCAATTCATAAAAGATATGGAAATGGCTGTGGAAGACAGTCTTTACTGGGAATGTCGAGCAAGTGGGAAGCCCAAACCCTCCTACCGATGGTTGAAAAACGGAGAAGCCCTGGTATTAGAGGTAGAGTAGTGTGCTTGGTCAGTTTACCATCTCCCTGCTTCGTGTTAATTAACTGCTTCCTTTGGTTACTGGTACCAAAGTAAACAACTGAGTTTGTACAATGTTATTTTGACCTAAGCAGTGCTAAGAGATGATAACATAAAAATTGAGCACCCAGTCTGCTAATGAGATCTTTTCAAGATTGCATGTCATTGGGTAAAGCTTCTCTTGTGAGGCTAGTTACCAAATAACATACTGTTTCTTGGTATTCAAACTAGAAAAGGCTGTACTTTAATCAAATGCAGGAGGTAATTTCCTTTTTCTGTTTGACAACTTGGTATGTCCTCTAGAGAACAAATATATATATTATTTGGTAACCTTGTTACATGAATAGTTATTTTTTCAATGATTTTCCCTCTCAAGCAATGCAATTTTGACTTTTTTTGTGTACAAAGTCAATTATGTCCCTTTCCATTTCTCTATATAACCATTATTACTTTCCTAAATACCCTTATAAGTAAGTATGTTTCCCATAGCTTTTTTAATGGACTAAATTTATAATGTGTTCAACTTGCATATTTTTAAAAAATGTGTGTTGAAAATAGTTCTAGTTTATGCGATGGAAATACAGCTCATATTTTTTTAAATTGGAAATTTTGCACATACATAAAATAAAATAGTTACATAGTTTACCTGTTGCTCTGATAGGTTTATGTATATTCTTTGGGTCTAAGTGATGTTTATTCATAATTCCATGTATCTTTCAAATTTCAAAGAACTATATACAAGCTAGTTAAGGTAATTTTACTACTTATTTCTGTATGCTTGTTGAAAGGAACAGTTAATGCATATATTTTGACCAATTTTGCAAGCTTATATCTGGTAATCTGAATTACTCTGAAGACAGCAATATGCAATATAACAGTTGTTGAATTCATATCTTCTTTGTTTTTTTGAAATTCTGTATTGTTTGTAGTGTTTCATGGTTATTATTTTTATTCTTTTTAAAATAAAAGCCTGAATGGAAAAAAGGATAAATTTCATGTCAAACTGTTGAACACTAAGGAAAATGTAGAAATCTTGTGTCTTACTGAATACAACTGAGCTGTATTCATTTTTCTACTGAAATGCTTATCTGCAAGGCATTTTCCTTTTTGCCTAGGAGAGAATACAGATAGAAAACGGTGCTCTCACAATATCAAACCTAAATGTAACTGACTCTGGCATGTTCCAGTGCATAGCAGAAAACAAACATGGTCTCATCTATTCCAGCGCTGAACTCAAGGTTGTTGGTAAGACGGATCTTCTCTTCACACCTTCCTGTTTCTGTAGATCCTCCACTGCTGCCAGGGGCCATCACATTTACTTTTTGTATTAGATTCCTATGTCTAATAAGATTTACAGTGTAACAGCATGATCAGTCAGCCTTTGTAATAAAGGCATCCACTTCATTTCTGAAGAAAAGAAGCAGTTGTGTCCAGAATTAAGGTGCAAAGGTTGAAGTAAATCAACAGAAGGAAGAAAACTCACCAAACATATCTTTATCCAGGTCCAGTGTTATGGGCTAAGATTTGGTTCTTAAAAGACTAAGTGATATTGGTGTTCTCTGGCCTATGAAAGTGAACCTCAATATTTGAATCTAGAATGTCTGATTCAAAAGGAGTTGCTTTTTTCTTTATTAACCCTGTTAGAAGCATCAAGTATTGATCAGACTGAAGCTTTTTTTTTTTTTTTTTTTTTTCCGAACCGGGGATTGAACTCAGGCCCTTACACTTGCCAGGGAAGCGCTTATTCCCCTGACCCACTCCCCGGACCCAGACTGAAGCTTTAATTAACCCTTATTGCTTAAAAATAAGAATTATAGTTTTGTTCTTTCAACTTAGGTGTAGAAGAAGAAAATTTCCATTGTGTTTAGGGCAATTGTCTTCAAGTTGCAGAAGATTAAAAATTCAACAAAATGTCATACAGTCATATAAGATAGAAAGGAAGGATGAAAGAAGTGGAAAAGGAATTGGGGAAAGAAATTCATCTGTCCTTGAAATTAAATTAGAGAAACTGTATTTTAGCATAACTTGATCATGGCAGGGGTCGCATAGCTTTTACCGGGATCTACATGATGGTTCCCAAGATGTTTAGTTTGCTACCACAGGTAATTTACTGGGAAAAATGGCTATCTTAATTGCTAAAAGAGAACTCACTGTCCTGCTTGTTATTGGACACAGGTTACCCGACTTGGGTCTTCACCAATTTCTTGCCCATTCTACAGGTCAAGAACAATGTATGGCCCTGACTGCTGGACTTTAATTCAGGGGACCTCAAATGAAAACAGATTTTTCTCTAGGGTATATATTTGGAAATATCTGGATTTTTTTTTATCATAACGAGGGGCTCTGAGAATAAAGGTGCCTTGTGTTATATTTATATTAGTGCATTGTAAATGAAAACCAGAGACGTGGCCAGATATTGTAAAATGCAAAGAAACCTCACAATGAATTATTATCCAGCTCAAAGTGTTAAGAGGAAGTGAGAACCCCTAGTTCCATAGAAAATAGGTGTCTTGTCCCTGGTATCTGAAAATTAGAAATGGGACATCCGTACCTGGAGTGATGCTTTCAAAGGAAGCATCCCCAGTGCTTCCTTTATCGCATTTTCTGTGGCAGAGAAGCAGGATGTGATGACAGGAAGGGAAGTGGATGTGCTCCTAAATTGTAAGTCAAAGGGCAGTGTTCTTTTGTAGTAAGTGAACCTACGGAGCCATAGTTTAATTCATCTTTTAAATTGTTGCATTCCTACTCAATGTGTTGGGTGCGATTGTTTGAAGCAAAAGATATGAGATATACTTTACAAAAAAATTAGTGAAACATAAATAGAATTTTGTTTTAGAAGGCATTAAGAAATTTTGTTTAGAAGAAAAAATTTAGGGTCTACATTTTATGATCAACAACTTCTGGATCATGTGTCTTTTTTTCCATACTCATATGGAAGTCACATGCTATTTTTCATTATAAGCTGTTAATTTATCAAAAATATATATTATATTCACTAAGATTTTAATAAAACAGCATTAGATATATCGGAAAATGTACTAGGTTCTTAACTTGTTTTCTATATGTGTAATAAAACAGTGTTTTTTTGACAAACCTATTATTTCACTCAAATAATCCATTATTATATATCCTGAACATTCAAATGTTGTTCAGAATTAGCATCTGAGCCATTATTAGAAGACATAATTTAGATTGGGCATGATGGTGCATGCCTGCAATCCAGCACTTGGGAGGCTGAAAACATGAGAATCACTACAAGTCAGATCTATGTAGTGAGACCCTGTAGACCCTGTAGACACTGTACTAAATACAAAACAAAATAAAAAAGAGACATACTATTTTTCTGTATGTTATATTTAATGCAGTATTGTAACATTTAATATAGTATTTATGTTATATTTTCCTTCCCCAAATGGGAAGTTAAATTTAATCATATGAGAATTTTATAATACAGCTTGATACATTGTGGTGAGACTGTTAGTTCTGTGTTCAGCTTCTTTCTATGACCCTTTGCCAAGCATCTGCCAAGTGCCAGGCTCCACACACCAGAGCTGAGGGGGCAATTGAGAAACAGGCTTGCCCTCTTTCTTCAGAGGACATGAACTTTTGTAGTCATTCTGTGCTACATGATTTTGTCTAATAAAGTCCTCTGTGAGCAACTTTGGATCTTCATAGTAAACATTAAAAATGATAAAGAAATTTTCTCAAAATGTGGGACTTGCCCCAAATTCTACAGCATGTGGCAATGTTCTGGTCCTGAAATCTGTGTGCCACACAGGAAATCAGGCACCAACACCTGCCAGGCCAAGCACAATACTCTAATGGTCGTATGGTCAACTGGTCAACCTTTCACATTTACAGAAAGGTGAAAGAAGATCCAACCCTCAATAAGCCTAGGATGCACGTGCTCTCTCTCCCTCTCTCTCTTTTTGTTTGTATTTTAGGGAAGAGTCTACAGGGTATTCAGGGTCTCACTGCTGGATGAGATTCATAGTGATCCACCTGTTTACAGCCTCCCAAGAGTTGGGATTACAGGCATGTGTCTCCATGCTCAGTCTCATTTGCCATCTCAGTGCACTCCAGGGGTGGGGCCAGCATGGCATGCCTGGGGATTGAACCGCCTGCCCCTGAGCCTGCTTGCAGGTGCTTTAATCCGCTGAGTGATTTGGTCGGCCCTGCATTTTTGTTCTCTTCTTTTTTTTTCCTCTTTCAGCCTCTGCTCCAGATTTTTCAAAGAACCCAATGAGGAACTTGGTTCGAGTGCAGGTGGGCAGCCTGGTGACCCTGGACTGCAAACCCAGAGCTTCCCCCAGGGCTCTGTCTTCTTGGAAGAAGGGAGGTGTGGTGGTGCAGGAGCATGAAAGGTATTTTATCCAGCAAACTGTGGAGATTTCCTTTCTTTTTACCTTCAAATAGTCAGAATAGGCTATGCTAGAGCAGCATTTCAGTAGGTATGTGGTATCTAGGAATCAAAACAGCAAGTTTTCTTTAATAGTCTCATTATGACATTAATCAGTCATTAATATTGAATAGAGATATCCCTCCTTAACTGCTGTGCACAGAGAGTTTCTCCTTACAGCAAATATTTTCTTCCCAGTGTTCTTGCAACGTTCAACCAGAAAAACAAAGTATTATACCATCCCAAGATGCAGGAAAACATCCCAGAATAGAAAGAGAAGATAATAAAATGACAGCAAATGCAAAAGGAATACTAGCCTTGCTGTTCTATCCAGAATTTATTTAACACTACTGCTATTCAATGTAAGCAAAATTTGTCCAGTATTGTGATTATGCTGACAATGAAATGAAGAGGCAGAATGTAGCACAGGACAAAGCGTAGATCCTGGAGCCATGAGTGTTCAGACTTCTCTTCTACCTTGTACCAGCTCAGTGCTGTGCCTCATTACTCTATGCCCCATTTCTTTATTTGATAATGGGGATAGTGATAGTGGTTTGCACCTCATGTCAAGATGATTACATGAAGAAACTATATAAATATTCATAAAGTGCTTAAATCAGTGTATGGTGACAAATAAGCGTAGGTGTTGGCTATTATTACTATCTATTAAATACTTTCATCTTACCAGATGTTATGCTCAGGGGTTGTGATGGCAAAAGAATAGCCCCTGAAACCGTGTTCCTAAGCTGGAAACCTGTGACTGTTACATTAAGTGGCAAAGGTGATTAACGCTGAATGTGGAATTAAGGTTGCTAATTAGGTAAATGTGAAACAGAAAGTTCAGTCTGCCTAGGTGAGTGGGCCTTACTGCTCACCTGAGCCCTTCAAAGAAAAAGAGGAAGAGGGACAGAGTAGCCAGGCACGTGTGATCAAAGAAGCAGCAGCAGGAGGGCTCTGAAGCGGGAGAAGGACTGTGGTGTCTGCGGCCGGCTTTGAAGACTGTAGAAGCTGCACGAAATTAGTGGAATGAAGACCTCCTTGGTCCCATAAGCACATGGAGCTGTGCTTTGCCAGTAGCCTTCAGAATGAGTTTAACCCTGCCAGTTCCTGGCTATAGGCCAGTGAGGCCTGGACAGTGCTTAGCACCTATAGAACTGTAAGAAAATGGATTCACAAGGAGTGAGCAAAAGATCCAGCGAGTGTTTAAATAAAAAAAAAAAAAATGTTACAGTGAGAGAAACATTTCCATTAATTTCCCTCAAAATACGCCCTCTCAATTCAAAGAGTCACCGATGGTTCTTGTCACTTCGTAAATATCTTTAGTAGGTGCGACAAAAAACACAGTGAGGGCTGCTGTGAAGTGCCATCCAACAGAAAGCTCAGAAAAAATTCCTGTGTGTCCTCATCCACATGACCCACAGTTTCCAGCACTGGGAGACTTCTGGGTTTTCCCCAAGGTGAGAATGACAATAAGAAGCAGATATCAGGGATGGATTAACCACACTGAAGCAGCCACAAAAGAGACACTCACTAAAAGAAAACTTCCTGAACTACTTCAGTAAGTGGCAGGAATAATGGGATAAGTGTGTACAGAGTGAGGGGGAGTACTTTGGGGATAAATAGTGGCAACATATCTTTCAGCGTTGTACATTTTTGAGTGGCAGGGGACATGAGTACAAAGGGCGTAGGAGAGAGGGGAGAGAAAGCAAACAGCATCAAGATGCAAGTTGTATTACACAAACATCCCACGATGAATATATCCATTATGAAGCATAAAGACATATCCAATAAATTTTATTGTATGTTTGTATACTGGGAATCCAATTGAGGACCTCATGCTTCCCAGGCAGGTGGTGCACTGCTGAACTATATCCCCAGCCCCCAGAGAAATTTTAAATGCTTTCTATGTTTCTGTCACCTTATGTACTTAGGTTCAGTTTGCTAAGTCTGTCATAGTTTGTTATGAAAGCAATAGGAAATTTAACACCAAGCCCAACACAAATCGTGTCTCATAAATTTCTTTTTAACCAACGAAAAACCCAAGTTTAGAGGGATCTGTAATTCGGCCTAAAGTCATAGATTGGGCATTGCACCATGTCTGTTCTGCTCTGGCGCAGAATGGGTCAGCCCTTCCGGTGGCCCTTGTTTTGCACAGCAGCCCAGATAACAGAGGCGATCTCAACCCTTGAAGGCACGAAGCCCAAGTATTTCCTTTGGGAAGTGAGAGAGAACCAAACTCTATAAGCTTGGGCCACATTATGAGGATTTGCTTTTCTAAAATCACAAAGACATACTGCAGAGGGCCAGGTGGAATTGCTTTTAGATTATAGGCCTAGAGCTATTTTTGAATGAGTTGGGTGTGACAACACAACCAACAAAATCTTCATTGTTTGAGGTGAGACACCTTCATTAAAAGGCCTATACACCAGGAAAATAGAGCAGTTCAACACTGTCCAGCCAAGTGTGAGTCCACAGAGAAGAGATTTCTGAAATAGGAAATTATCACTGTGAAGTTTAATTTTTATAAAGCAGCTTAAGCAAGTATAGAATTATGATGCAAAATGGTTACTTTTGACTATGATAGAAGTTGTTCCCCTATACGACTGTTGAAATTTTGTGTGTATATTTTAAATAGTTTTGCTTGTATACATAAAATTAAATAATGATCACTTTCTGAGGACTTTAATGCTTTGCCCGATAGTAAACCCACTTGTAATTGCAGTATGAAGTAGCCAGAGGACTTTCATTTTTGTTTTATCAGAGAATAAGAAAATTAAGAGATTAAGCATAAGAGAGCCACATAAGAGGTTTACCCCATGTAATACGGTGAAGGTTAAAGAAAAAGGAGTGTAAGTTTCAGAATCTAAACAGGCATTTCTGACTTAGCTACTTCTGTTGTCTTGTTAGCCACTTTTGTATTATGTCTGAACCTTAGTCTTTTCATCTGTTAAACAGAAATACTACTACTATACTTATTCGCCTTAAGGTAAGCATTTAGCATAATGCCTTATATTTTTAGATGTACTGATCCTTAAGATTGAGGTTATATAAAAAATTAAATAGTGAAAATAATAGTGGCTGAGATTGATGAAAGGATTTTTGTATGTAGGTTAGGCGTTCAGGGGTTGGTTGGTCTTTCTGAAGGTAGAGGACATTCCAGGGTAAGTGTGTGCTTCAGGGAGCAGGCCCCTGCAGTCTGGCAGCCTTAACAGCTTTACCTCATAAACCAAAATGGTTGCCTGAGCTAAGCCTTCTGAGTGATGCCCCAGGCAACAGCAGAGGAAGGCAGACAGAAGAATCCCATATCCTTATCACATTCCCCTGACACATTACTGATTATAAACTAGTTCCCTGGCTACATGTAACAGCAGGACAGGCTGGGAAGTATGATTTTGTTTTGTTTTGTATTATGTTCCTCCCCCCAGAAGTGTGCCTGTTAAAAAACCGTGGGAGTCTGCGAAGAAGGATAAAGGGTAGTCTGGGCCTGGTAGAGTGTGCCTGTAATCCCAGCACTGGGGAAGCTGAGAACAGGAGGATCACTGCAAATCCGAGCTGCATAGCGAGACCCTGCACCTAATACATAAAATAAAAAGAAGGATAGAGGGGAAATGGTTGCCACTCCAGCAGTATCTCATGGTCATAAAAGCCAGTTCTTAGCCCCTTTTGGGCCTGGGATCCTCCACTTTGCTCTTGGTACTTTGATTTCACCCTTTTGGTTAGTAAGGAAGCTTTTGGGTATAAGATGAAGTTCAGAGGTAGAAGCGTGTTTGCACAGAGGGTCTGTAGTTCTGCAGTCCTTGCTAGGATTCTGGTTTGGATATAGATTTATCTCTTTGGACAGCAAAACTAGTGATGATCCAGGGTCTGGATGCTCAGGGAGAAGCCTGCTAGAAGCAATTATGGAACAAGTTGTGGACTTGAATCTTCTCCAAGTCCACGGGAAATCAGCTGGCACAGAAATCCTCATCTTTCGCTTTCGACTTGGTTTGCACACTTCAGCCAAAGCAGGGAGACATGTTAAATGGTAGATTTATTGCAGTTGTTTAGTCATAGATTACGCCAATTTAGAAATTGCAAATTTAAATATCATTTTGGGCACCAGTGAATTTATTGATGCATTTGAGAAGAAAAAAAGTGAGAGACAAATTTGATGGGACATTTATGACAAGATTAGAAATTCATTGCATGTTTTAGTGAGTCTGGGGCTTTCTATTTTGTTTTGATAAATAAACTTAATTAGGGAATAAGAAACTTAGAATAAATAGGAAAACCCTCTCTAGCAAAGCAAAAGGGTTCTATAGCATAGATAGACAGATGGATAGATAGATAGATGGATAGATAGATAGATAGATAGATAGATAGATAGATAATTTTATGTGGTTAGTAAGGGGTCACAGGGTCTGACAACTACACAGATTGAACTCATGGTGATTCTCCGGTTTTCAGCCCCCAAGCGCTGGGATTACAGGTGTGCGCCACCACGTGCAGTCTCAATCGCCGTCTCAGCACATCCCAGGGGCAGGGCCAACAAGCACACTGGGGATTGAACCCCACAAATATATTTTTATTAGGCAAATATTCTATTCTGTTGGTATCATTCAAAGTTTAAATCACACTGAAAGAAACTGGTCAAAAAGGAAAGCATAATTGGGATGGGGAAAAAGATGAAAGAGAAGGCTAATACATATACTCCCTAAGAGAATTGCACTACTAATTTCTAATAGTTCATTGAAAGGAACAGTCAGTTTTCGTATTGTTTGACTAATCTTATGTGCCTATATCTGATAATCTGAACAACCTACTTTGAAGAAAATAATATGTAATGCAGTAGCCATTGTTAATTTCCTATCTTCTTGTTTTGGAATTCCCTATTTTTATTGTTTTTATTATTCTCTTTAAAATAAAACATGCAAAATGATTTGTATAAACTGATAAATATAGGTATTATATAATTCATAGAATATA